TTATTTTCATAAGGTATAGTTTCAACCCTGGGAATCAGCAAAATAGAGGCCATGTCTCCACCAGCACCTCCTCACACACAACACACCCAACACTCTCCTCAAACTCTTCACAGCTCTCATGGTTATCAGAGATCTTCAAGATTGACAGAAAGACCCTCCCAAAAAGAGAAACGTTGCTCAGACAACGTCTCCTTACTGTAAATAATGTTTGACTTCTCACCCTTGACATGTGACAAGCAAGAGCATTTCTTACAGTGACAGTTGAAAGAAATATGTCTCTGAAAGTCTCTCTCTTTCCAGCTGTAAACAGGAAAGGCACCTACAGAACAGGCAGGCAAATAGAACAGATCTCATCTTCAACACACTGTCAGAGAGAAAGAACCATCTTCAGGTCATCAAAGAGCAAAGCAAGAAATAAACACCTGCAGAAAGGAAGAGATAACGACACACTATTCCCAGTTATGTAACTAAGACTAGGCAATAATTTCGGTGTTTAGTAAGCAGTGAACACACAGCTTGCTTTCCCCAGAGCTTCCTTCCACATAACCTTTGTCATAACTCCATAATTAAGCTGTGCAGTTACACAGTTATGACAACATGAAAACACATATAAAGAACTTCCCAGGGCTGGAATAACATGTCTTCCGGCCAAACAGTTTGAGAAGGAAAACTTCACATTGCATGATCCTAGAGGTGGGTAAAGAACAAGAAAACATGAAAAGCATTCCCTTGTGTCCTTCAACAGACCCTCCTGCACAGCTCCCAGGACTGGAATCTCCAAGCCTTCTCAACATCCAGGGTGCTCATGGACCCATCTACTTTACAAGCACATGGTACATAAAGCCCAGTTTCCCAGATCGTTTCTCTTCACATCACTACCACACAGGTATCTTTATATATATATATATAAAAGAAGATCCGTTTGTCTGCTCACTGATTTTCTGTGAGGAAACCTTAAAGTTCTAAAAAGAAAAGAGGAGCAGTGCTCCAGGGAATGTATGCAGACATTCACAGTGGGTCAGTGAAGGTCTGCATAGGGGCAATCACTCTCTCCTTACATCTCCCTCTGCACCTTGAGTCTCTCCCCTCACACTCAAACAAGGCTCTTGGCATGACATGTCTTTTATAGCCAAGGCACATCTAGCCCCGTTTCACATGGCTCAACCTTTAAAGACAAGAAATCAGCAAAACACCCCGGTCATTTCCTACTGCATTTCCTCCTCTGTATACAGCACCCACAACTCCTTTTGAGCAGTCACTGCTTTCAACATAATCCTTCATCTTTATAACAGGCAGACAGACATCATCAGTGCAACAGTTGCTGCCCGGCCCATTTTTCTACAGGAAACACAAGGAGCAAAGTATGGATGAATGCAAAGACATTCCCTACTGACCTCCATTATGTATCATTGAGACACATGAAGGCTACAAGAGTACAAATTATAAGCAGCAGAGTTACATACGATAAAGTCAATATTGCAATCCAGAGAACCTCACCCAAATCAAGTGCATGTGCCATTGGGAAGACACCTGAACCTGCAAAGAGCACAAACTACAATTTGCTCGTAAGGCAACACATCTGTACAGAAGATCGAGCACTGAAAGGAACACAGCGGTGTTACATGTCAGGGCACAAAAAGCACTTGGTGCATGATGAAAACATGAAGCTTCACTCAAACTTCCAGCCACCATCAGCCTCACTACACCCGCCTCCCCAGCAACCAGGAGGACTGAGCAAGGACCCTACGTCCACTCCCACCAGCCCACAGAATGTCAATGCACGAACCTCTGCCAGATTTGTCAGCAAACATCCGTACACAGAGAATGAAGTACGGCAGGGAAAGAGCAGCAGAAGATTCGCAGAGACAGTTTGGTCTGAAGAACTCACCGGAAGAGCGGCGGGGTCCGCCTGCTGGGGGCCGGCAGGTTCCTCCTCTCCGAGCAGCGGCGCGGGCTCGTCGGGCGGCGGCCGGGCCGGCAGGGTGTCGCAGCAGCTGTGGGCCGAGAAGCGGAGGTGGCTCTTGCGCGAGTCGGCCGTGAGAGACACGTCGTGCGAGTAGGAGTGCAGGAAGG